TCTCATGTGCATGTTATGATTCTTGCAGCAAATAAGACTGTTACTCAAGTCAAAGTTGTGCTACACAAGGTTCTAGTCAAAGATCTGTCAGGCATTTTTGCATTAATAAAACTTTTTCTTTAATTTAAAGAACAAAAGGTAAGTGATGTATATCAGGACCGGTAAGTGATGTAGTTCTAAGTTAATGTAATTACTATTTAGTATTTACAATTTATAAAAACTAATTTATTATTTGTTATTAATTTTATATTTAAATTTGTAATCAAATTTTATTCTTTATTGTTTATAAGTCAAATAAGAATATTCTTTTTTCGTTACTTGGACGAAGTTAACTTCTACTTTAACCATTCAACTTAAAGGACGAAGTTAACTTCTACTTTAACCATTCAACATTATTAAATACTGAATGTCCTTATAAGTGTTAGAGTGCTTACAATTACACTGCTCTGATAAAGACATTAACACGAGGGATTTAGCAAGGTTCTCAATAAAAATTTTGTGCGCACCCTCTTTATCCGTTAAATGTGAACGTCTGTTTAGCATAACGGGAAATATATTTGAAGAAACAGGCTGTTGCCTAAGCATGAAGAAAAGGTTGCATTTTTAAATTATAACTTGCCTTATTACTTCCAATAAATAATTAATTTAAACGCAATATACTAATAAATTGATATATAATAAGAATAACTTCCCTCATTTGTAATTAGTAATTACTAAATAGTAATTTTATTATACTTCAAAGTAAAATCTACTGTATACTAAACATTGTTTATAATATAATTTTAAAGTTTAGACTTAAATAAGTTGATGAGAAGTCAAATTAGTTATATGATTCACACCTTGATTCAATTAATCATTTATAATTAGTAATTGCTAGTTAACTTGTCATTTTTTTTCAAGTAACATTAAACTTTTTTAAACAATGCATAGCTACATCCTAAAATTCTATGAGGTTGCGTAATTTTAAAAAAAGCTTGATGATTTGTGGTGGTAATGAAATACCTTGTGCGTTAAAATACATATAATTGCAGTAATATATGTATATATATATATATATATATATATATATATATATATATATATATATATATATATATATATATATATATATATATATATATATATATATATATATATATATATATATATATATATATATATATATATATATATATATATATATATATATATATATATATATATATATATATATATAGGTATTGTGGTGAATCCTCCTCCAGCTAATTGCTATACGGAGGCCACATTACCAAGGACCGCAAAGACAAGTTCAGCTAATAAATAGCGTCATTACCTGCTCTACGGACCAAGAGTAAAGTGAGTTTAGGAAGAACGAAGAATTTTAGAGTTAAAGACAGAAGAAGTCGTGTTAGAAAGATAGCATACAGAAAGCGGACAGGATTGCACACGATGTTAGAAGGTGCAATATGTTACTATACACGTAATTGGTTTAAGCCAATTAATGTATGCAATACATATATATATATATATATATATATATATATATATATATATATATATATATATATATATATATATATATATATATATATATATATATATATATAAACATATTGTTTTTCAACAATTAGTATTATCTCTAGATAGCTAGAGATAATACTAATTGTGGTTTATCTTCGTCTGCTAATTCCTATACAAAGATCATATGCCAAGGTTTACATAAACAAGTTTAGCTCAATAGAGAGCGTCATAAACCGCTTCAATGGAGAAAGAGTAAATGAGTTTTCAAATGAACAGAAGTAAAAAAAAATAAAAGTAATCACAATAGAAAAATAGCATAGAAAAAAGTAGATAATGCATTGTAGTTTATAATATGAAATATATTATTTCTAATTAGTTTTTGTTTATTTTATTTAAGAGTTTATATTTTCATTTTTATTGCCGATGCTGTTTATATAAAACATTATAAAACAGCTTATAGATTCGAAATATTTTTCAAGTTAACAATAAATGCAATTTTAAAATCAATTTTTCACTGACGCGTCAGTGGAAAATTGTCACGACGTGTTTAACGTCAACTTCTTGTTTATCTTATTATTTTACTTTTGTAATGTACTTAATTATTCTATTTTGAAAAACATAAAACCAGGTGATTTAAGGGTCAACTTGCGAAGCCTAGCTTATTTGCGGTGGGCGTATTGTTTCTACTATTAAATAATATACATTAGAAACGTTTTTAAACTTGTTATTATTCTTATTTTTGTAATTGGGTGTCTTCATAATAAATTGCAGAGGTACGAGTATAAGCGCCAAGTGGTCTAGGTTTATAGGGTACAACCCAGGTTTAGCTTTTTAAAAAAGAAAGGTAATGGTTTTGTACCTTATTCCCTAATAGAACTAGTGAGTATGGTTTAAAGGTTTTTGATTTTCTTCAGGGTAAAGGAAAAAAAGACATTTTGTAACTATTTGAAGTTACTCTATATTAAGCACAAATAGGAAAAATTTTTCTAAAAACACTCTGTTCGTTGTTTAACTTAGTTTTAATCCAATTTTCAAAAAGTTTGATGCGATGTGTTAATAATATATATATATATATATATATATATATATATATATATATATATATATATATATATATATATATATATATATATATATATATATATATATATATATATATATATATATATATATATATATATAAAAGCTGACGACAAATTTTATTGACGACAAAGCTGTTATTTGCTTCTGCACTTCTTTTATTTGCTTGGTCGTATTTAAGAACTTGTGCAAATCTTATTTGAGTATTAGGCAAGATTAGGCGCTATTTGAGTTAATTTTTTCTGAAACCATTTCTAATGTCTTATTTTAAATTCTTGAAAATTAGTTTCAGGTAGTTTTATGTTTATGTATTTTATGCATAGTTTTTGCATACCTTAAATTGAGAAGTTAAAACCAAGTTTACAACGAAAGTTTAAAAAAATTGCTATGCAATTACTAATTACTAAGTTGGACTTTTCAAAATTACTTTTCGAATTATGAAAAATCTAGCTCTGCAAAAAACCTTAAGAGACTATTTTTTTTTTTTCCTTATATAAAGTTGCTTTGTTTTAAATTTTTAATTTTAATTTCTGAAAAAAATTCTCTTTTTGTTTCAACGTTATTACACATAAAAATGTAAACAAATTGATTATGTGTTAATACGTATGAGTACGTCTAAATATTTTTTCTATATTTGTTTATACGTTGGAATACACAAATGTATATATGTATGGTTTATATTAGCTTATACGCTGTAATACACAATTGTATATATGTATTATTTATAAAAAACATATTTATGCACAAAGCATAACCAGAGTTAAAGCTTTGTACATAAGGAATTTTTTTTTTTTTAGTCCTAGGGATTTGATATTGCTCTAATTCTAATCGCATATTCTGCTGAAACGACTATTAATTTTTGAACCTCAAATTTATTTCGTAAACGCACTTTTCAATGAAAAACATCTATTATTTTTCAAAACAATATGTATGTAGGATGATAAGCACTTTGCCCAAGTGCACTCAACTAGATATTGCTAAATCTTTGACGAAACTATATTTAGAGCTTTTATTGAAATCAAATATGGCGACCAAAAAACAAACATGGTTGCAATTAAAAAAGTGAGAGAGAGAGAGAGAGAGAGAGAGAGAGAGAGAGAGAGAGAAAAGAGATGAGTTAAATAAATAAAGTTTAAGTTTTCATTTTAGTTTTTTTATAAACGAATACTTTTTATAAATATATTTACCGTAAATGATCAAATGTGCTATCAAACGTCGTAAATTATAGAAAGTCCCTGCGGTGTCAAAATTAGATTTAGGGTTGGTTATTTAACCGATAAAGGTTTTTATTTGATTCATGGGACGCATTAATATCTGTAATTTTTGCTGACAAAAAAAATATAAAAGCGATTAAAATAGACAAAAGCAATTATTTGATGAATAAAATCAACATATAATTTAAATATAAACTAAATTTAAAAGTTATGAAAAAATTTGGAGCTAATAGTGTGGCAAAATAATTAGAAATTGTCATTATCTAAATTTGGGCGCGGGAACAATATGGAAACTTTCAACGTGTAAAGTGTGGGGAAAAACTGCTGAAGATATCTGCACTAAATCTAGTTGTTTTTTTCACAAAAGGGAAAAAAAACTAAGCAAAGAATAATGGAATTTTTTTTTTTTTTTTTTTATTTTTTTTTTTGCCCATAAAATAAAAGTCCTTCTCTTATTACGGTAAAAAATTTAAAAAAGTAGATAAGTATCTGTGCAAACCTAAACCCTCTATTGGTGCATGTGTACGAAGCTAATGATGATAACTATTTCAACATGATGTCATCGATAATGCGTTCACTGCAAAGATATTTGTATATGAATACGCTAATTTAAAATTTTACTTATTTAAAACTACTGCGATGCCTTCTATATGTATGTTTTGAATAAACCAAGCAATCGGTATTGCATTTTGTGTGTGTGTTTTAACATCTCTTTAAAACGTTTTAATTCAAAATTATTATAAATTTTATTATCAATAAAGAACGTAAAATAACAGAGAACTAAAAACAAAGGGGATTTTTCTTTTTTTAATAATACTTCTCAACCTTTTTAGACATAGAAAAATATATTTATAAAAAACTGAGGAAAAAGAAAATAACTCTTTTAAAACTTTTAAACATATCCAACTTTTTTTAGAAATTCTAGTAACTTAATAGTATACCGTTGTGCCAACTGGTACGGCTTAGTTTGTCTAAATATTTGAGTTGTATGATCACGTATAAAAGCCATGTATTTTAAAATAACACTATTTAGTTCAATTCAAAAATAAAATGAACTCGTGCACGATAAATAAACGTGAGCAGTTGCACTTATGACAAATAACAACAAATAATAAGATATTAGAACCTAATAAAATTGTTACTATATGAGAATTTTATTAGATGTAAGAACCTAATAAAAACCGTTAATATTAAAACGATTGGCAATTATTTAATATTTACGGCGTCATCAAAATATGAAATGTATTACATTTTCAAAGATTTGCTTGTTTGAATATTGCTGATATTTTCATTCGCGTAGATTTTTTTTCAGATCTCCCTTTAAAAATGCGACATAGATCGTATTCTGGTCCGAACATTAATGCATTCCAATTTGCCAATGGACTATTGTCATTATTCATTGACATTGTGCTATACCTTTTATTATAAAGATTTTTCATGTTTGTTTGTGTCACAAATGGTAAATTAATTTGCGATACTGGTGCCGAGTTTGTTTGTGATAACGGGATCGAGTTAGCTTGCTGTGCCGATGTCGATTTTGTTTGCGGTATTGCTATTGAGTTTGTTTTTAATATAACCGTAGATATCGATGAAGAAATTGTTTGTGAGTTTGTTTTTTGCACTAAATCGGGAATATTTTCCTGATTAGCTTTTGCATCTTTCGTAAGATTTGTTTCTGTAATCTTGTTATTTAAATTTAACTTCGACGAATTTGAGTCTAATGAGTCTGTGTCTGATATCGGTTGATCTTTCTCATTATCTCTATTTTCAAATGCAATTTGGTTTACGCCAAGTTTTCGAATTGGTTTTGCTAATCTTTCTCGTTTAATGGAAGATCGGAATTTCTCTTTCCTAGATTTTTCGGTTTCTTTATGATCGTCTGTCTTGTGTGCGTCTTGTGAGTCCGGCACATTTGCCATTGCAAAAGCTAAATCGTTCATAGCAAAGTTTTCTAACAAAAGGTAACCGAGTGAATTTTTCTTAAACCCATCGGTTTTTGAGGATTTTCGACTTTTTTTTAAATATGTATTGCTATTATCTAGGGAAATTTTTTTATTCTGTTGATTTAAAACGGATTTTGTATTATTTCTAAAGTCGTCAACATTACGAGTTTTGTTGATATTTTGGGGCACTGGATTTATAGGTTTATTTGTAGTACTAAAAAAGGCTTCTACGATCATTGCTCTAATTGGTCCGTACGTTGATTCGTAGTTGTCAGCAGCTGACATTTCCCAGAAACCCGCGTGATACAGTTTTGCAAGCGATTTTCCTTCGTCAGAAGTAACTACCCGTAAATGATCTAAATCGTTTTTGTTAGAAATCAAAGCGTAGCATAGCATATTTTTACCTTCGTTAGAGTCCTTAGATAAATGCGAATCAATTAATTTAAGAATGTCTTCAGCTAACATAAAAGAGAGACGATCATCTATCGAATAAACAACGGCTATACATGTGGCCCACGAAATATGAGAAAGGACGTCTACCTTTATAAACATAATAAATAATTTTAAAGGCATTAATTTTAATTAATAATGGTTAAATTGGCAATTTACTATAATAAACATTAATTATTTATACAAAGTAAAAAAAAAAATATTAAAATATTAATAATGGATTATAAACTTACCTCATTGGCCGTGTCTTTTAATTCGTAAGTAATATGGTCGTCTCCAAAAAATATTTCTCTTACATAGTTATTTTCAACGCCTGGCTGATATTCGCTAATGTAGCGTCGAGTCAAAAATCTTACACTAATTGCTAAATAAAGTTTTCGAAATTGTAATATTAGTTTTACAACCTTTATATAAACATTATTACTAATAATATTTAAATTTTTAAACATTAAATCCTTTTCAATAAAATTAATTCGCGAGGCTCATTGATTTTAATGAATTGCACAACTTCGAACACAAGCAAACACATTTTAAACCGTGAAATAATGTGTTATTCAGAGCTTTTCTTTAAGAATTAAATAAAATATAAATTAACATAAAAGAGTTAGAATCCAAATAAAATACTTTTTCAGTTAATCCTAATTACAATTTATTTTAAAAGCAAAAAATGTTAAACATGTTAATTAACTTAACGTAATTAACATGTTAATTTTCTTAAATAAAAAAAGATTAAGTTTATATTCAAGCTGAAATTAAAAAGATGCCGTTTTGTCCAAGTTTCGTATGCGTTTATAAACAAAATGAAATATTAAATATTTTTATTTTTATTTTTTTGAATTTTTTTCTTTAAATTTTATAACAGTATTGGTATAAAAATATATAATAAAATACAGTAATGATATAATAAAAAGTGAAACAAACTTCTTATGTAGTTATTCTTATTAGCATATTTTGACCGGCCTGGGGCATATATTAGCATATTTTGACCGGCCGTACCTTCATCAATATCACCGGCTAACTGGAGCCGTGTTATCATCTCTCCATTAAACTTAATGAAGCGTTGGTCAGTTGTTTTTTGTCTTCCTATTTAGTTTTCCCTAAATGTATTTAAATAAATTTTTTAACAATTTTTTAATTAAAAAAAATTTGCAGAATAAAGCTTTTTTAAATCTAACGGAGAGACGGCCAGAATAAAGCTTTTTTAAATCTAACGGAGAGACGGCCAGAGATCTTTTTTAAATCTAACGGAGAGACGGCCAGAGACCTTTTTTAAATCTAACGGAGAGACGGCCAGAGACGTTTTTGCTGTGTAATTTTTGTAACGTAAATATATTTTATATTTTAAAACAATAAGTTAAAATCGATAAGTAATTAGTAACAATACACAATTTTTTATACTTTATTTTGTGACCTCAGCATCTCAGTAACAGCCATAAGAATAAAAGCCTTTTAAATGTTCTAGGTTTTGTCAAACTTATATTTAGCCTGAACTTATTCTTATTTGAACTTACCCTGCGGGCATTTTCATTTTTAAATTACGTTCTAAATGTATTATAAATGTCTTTTAAACGTCTCTTTAACATTCATACGTAAAGAAAGTTTAAATGACGTTTAAAAAACGTTTAGAATACATTTAGAACGTAACTTTTAAAAACAAATGCCCGTAGGGTAAAGGTATAACGCATTAAAAAAAACCACAAGTTCTGTTCTTAGCAAATCTTAATGGAATCCTAAACAACACTGACACAACTAATACCTCTAAAAATTAGATTACAAATTTCTATGAAATCTCAAAGCTTTAGATAAATTAGTTAAAAACAAACCTGACTTTCCGACTTTTGGTGCGCCAACAATAGCAAACCGAACTACTGGCTCCGAAACAGTTTTTGATACTATATCTTCTTTTGACATTTTTTCCTAAAAGTGTAATTTATAGTAGACATCAAATCTAAAAATTCAAATCTTTATTGTTTTTCTTATAAATGAAAAATAAATTTGTTTATATTGATTTAAATTTTTATTATTTAGCAATAAATACCGTAAGGTTACAAAACACGTTTAACCTAGTAAAAGTATTTAATCTTGTTAAAAATTTAATAAAAGGTAGTCATGTATATAATTATTTTCAGCATGGCGTCACTTAATTATATATATATATATATATATATATATATATATATATATATATATATATATATATATATATATATATATATATATATATATATATATATATATATATGTATATATATATATGTTACAAATTGTTTATTATATTCAAACTTTTTTTATATCACCTTTATCCAAGTATATTGTATGTATGTATGCATTATCATTTGGCTCTTTTAACTTAAATTAGTTTGAAACTTTTCTATAAGGAGTTTAAAAACGTTTCTAAAATCTCCAGATAATAACTTATGAAACTTCAAATGCTTTGATTTGAAATACAAAGATCTAAATGCATAGTGTAAACTATAAAGTTCGCTTCAAATTCGAAAATGAATGAAACACAAAGTTTAATCCAAATGCTACAAAGATTCATTTTCAAAGTTTCCAATATTTAAAAGCTACAAAAAGTTCCATTTTAAACTGATATTAGATTCACAAATAAAAAAACTTTGCAAAGTTACTTTAAATACGTTAATGCATTTGCTACCATAACTAACAAACTATTTTTTTTACTAAGTACGTATATATATTTAAATATATATATATATATAAATATATATATATATATATATATATATATATATATATATATATATATATATATATATATATATATATATATATATCATCAAGCACTTCCGAGATTCCGTACTCTTGTTGTACAAATTTTTGTATTTGTTAACAAAAGTGTTGTCATAATGTCAACAACTTTATTAATAAAATATTTCAAGATTTTCGCTGTGTGTAGTTTGCAACAATAATTATTATATTTGAAGTGTTTAAAATATATACAAAAGGTATACAAAACTGGTATTGAAGTTTTAGAGAAAGTAAATAAAACACTTAATAGTGTGTTTAGTAATCTCCACTCTTTGTTGCTATGCAACATTTAGTTTTACAATGTCATACACAAAAATGTTCATTGGACAAAATTTTTATGTATTTGAAAAGTTAGTGTGCATTTTTTTTTTTGCTTTTGTATATTTATTTCAGAATTTATCTATTTATTTTTATTTGCATTTTTATGAGGCATTTTCTGATTTATCTTATTTATGTATTTGGTAAAATTTCTTATTTATTTAGTAACTTTTTAAAATCCAAATCTGACGGCTAAAATATTAAGGAATAGATAAAATTATGTCGAAATCAAAATTTTTTTTAAATTAAAAAAAAGTAACATTTATAATAAGCTGTATAACTATGTAATAAATATAAGTCAACTAAATAAATATTTTATAATCATTAAAAAATTCTACACAAAATTTTTTAATTATTTTATGTAAAAAATTATGCATGTAAATAAAAAACATTTTATATAGCACTCGACATTTAGTCCAAAAAAAATATCCCAATGGGACAGAGAATAGCAAACAGTTGTGTTCACTATTACAAATTAACAGAGGACATTAAACACATTGTACACTTTACACATAACGCTGTAAATAAGTAGTAAAAAAAATTAGTAAGTGCATTAGACAGATTTATTAACGCAAACGTGTGAGAAACAAAAAACATATGTCGGGCAAGAGACTAAATTTGTGTATGATTTTAAAAAGTCTGAAATTTAATTTTTATTGGATTTTGCTATTCAGTAAAAGAAAACCTTAACTTTCATTGAATTGCTTTTCTGTAAGCAAATAGTAGGTATTTGAAAATATTGTAGAAAACATATACATAGCAAACATGTTAAATAAGTTGAATTTTTGTGAAAGATTGTTTTTAAATTATAATTAGAAAGATCTTATTTAAACGCTTATTCGAAGTCAAACGTCAATTTTAATCAGACAATTCATTTTCTGTGTTAGCGAGTTCAAGTTATCAAATAAAATGCAAAGTAAATAAACTTTGAATATAAAGTATTTTTTAAAAATACTTTACTATAAAATAAATTTGTTTACATTTTAAACGTACATCAACCAACTACAGACATATAAAAATTATTACATTTCGTTATAAAATGTAAAAACAAAAATAGCTCACAATTCAAACAACTTAAATTGAATGAAAGTCGATCTTGGTCGATCCTAAAAATTTTTGTTTTTATTGAACAAAATATGATTCAAAAACACGTCATTTTGTCAACTGAAACGTAGCAAAGGGCTGCTTATCATATTCTAGTGAGTTTTTTATTACATATTCTATAACCCAAGAATTTACCATTAAAGTGTAATCGTTTATGATTTGATTATGCTTTGTTCTGAGGTGGTATTAAATATTAAAGAAGTTTTTTGAAAAAAGTATGTGTTTATTTATTTGCGATCAAAATACAAACAACCATTAAAATTCTTTTTTCCTTCAATTCTAAAATTTTTTCTAAAATTCTTTAGACATTTCAAGTCTGAAAAGTTTTTTATACTCATTTTTTAATCGAGGCTTTTGATAATGAGTTGGAAAAAGCTATATTTTAAAATAAAGTTACAGTTGGCAAATCGGTTTTTATTGATTTGTTGAATGTCTCTGATGCATTACGGCAATGGAACAATGAGAAAAGTAAATACGCAAAGAAAAAGTAATAAAACAAAATGCTAATCAGCTTTTGTTTTAGTAATTCCAAATTTTATAGTCAGAGAAGTTAAATAAACTAAAATGCAGAACTAATTCAGATATTACAATTAAAATGCATAAATGTGCTAAAATACAGACCCAACTTAGATATTACTATTAGAGAATGTGCTAAAAACAAAACTACACAAAGTAATTAACAGACAGAATACTGAAACGGATGTTACTGCTATTATACTAATCAATGTGTGTAACATAATGTACATGATAATGTACAAGACAGTTCCTACTGATTTTATAGAAGACTTGTAGAACCACACTTACAAAAAAAGTAATTTTACAAAATGTACTAACTGAAAATAATTGTATTACTTTCAATTAAAAAAAAAAAAACTACAATTAAAATTTTACAAAAAACAAATATTTTAGTTTAAAAAAATAAAAACATGGCAAAGCACCACCCTAATCATTGTATAGAGATTTTACGAATTATAATCATTTCATAGAGCTCCTACGGATCATAATCATGTACTAATTAAATGATTATGATCGGTTACTAAAAAAATTTAAAATTTCGTTACATTTTTCCATAAATTTTTCAATAATATATCAAAACTTTTCAATTTTGATAACTTTATTATAGCTTATTTATTATACTATAGCTTATTTAAGCAGCGCTCATTTTAAGCGCCGCACGGTGACTCATATATAGCGCTGCAGGTTCTTCATAATTTAATTTTTTCATTTATATTTAACAATTTTTAATTTTGTATTATTAATTAGGGTTAAAATCCGGTTTAATTTTAATCCTTGTCGAACGTTAGAGTTAATGATTATTTTCACAATTTTTAAAATAATATTCAAAGCGCGAGCCGTAGATTTGGGTTACTTATCCCGGCAGGGTTACTTTTAAAGTAGAAGGAAAAAGCATAACATGTTCTATCATTTAACGAGCTATTATTATACAACCTAGTAGTTAATATTCACAGTTTATAATAGCATTGTTGCTATAGACAACTTTTGACGTGTTTTCTACAGATTACTTTTAAAAGTGTTAAAATAATTAAATTAGTTTGCATTGTCGAAAACGCATGGCTGATTCACCAAATCTAAAACAGCGCACGACACCACAAGTTTACAAAAATAAAAAGTTTCACATAAGAACTTTATTTATTTTATGATCTAAATTTTTTGTTTTTTCTTTTCTTTTTTAATTTTTTTTTTGTATATTTTGAAAAAAAGCTAATCATAATCAGGGCCGTCCCGAAGGAAGGGAGGTGTAAATACATAACCCCCCACCCTCATCGAAGACCTCTTCGGGTCATAATTTAGCCATAGTCATAAAAAGACTTTTTTATGACTATGATTCTTTCATTTTTATGACTATGATTTCAAGCGTATTGCAAAATGGGGGAAGGGGGTAGACGAAAAAAAAGCGTACGTACTTTATGGACGACCCATTATGACTATGATTTAGCTTATATTTAAAATGTTTAGCGCTAAAACACCAGAAATCCCTAACTGCGCATTTATTTGTAAGCATAAATGGTTCAGAAATATCAAGTTAGATGCTATGCAAGCCATTTTATAATTGGGTGTTTTATATACTAATCATTATTTAAAGTGAAATTTATGTATTCATATAAATTATATATATAAATATAATTCACTTTAAATATTAACTATACTGTTGTTTGACATCAATTGCAGTTAAACTTTCATTTGGTTGCATGAAAAACCCTAGTTATGTTGTTAATTACAGTAAATGTCAAAAAATCATTTATCATAACTAACAACATAGCTATGAATTTTTTATAGCTCTTAAATCTAAAAGAAATCTTAATTAAAAAAAAATTAATCATTTATGCTCATCGCTACCCAAATTTTAGATGAATATGAAGGAGCAGCGAAAACTTTTATATTTTAGCTCCTCTACAATAAATGAGGTAAATTTACCTTAACTTCCTATCAATTTGAAGAGATCGTACACTTTATATAGTCAAAATTTCTGAACTCTAACCTAACCTGAACTCAAACCTGTTGCTCATTAAGGTAAGAGAGTAATATTTAAAATTTTTTGTTATTTTCAGACTTTATTTGCGCAATTTTTTACAAAACATTCTGATTTGTCATAGTACACGCCAAAAACAGCCCATCTCAAACAACAACAAAAAAATGTTTTGTGAGCGTTTTAATTTTAAGTTTTTTAAAGAAAGATATTTGTTAAAGAATTCTATATTACTAACGTTAAGTTTGTAGTTTTTTAATTAATCAATATTTAATAAAAAGAACTAAAATACATCTATAACATTTTTTTCTCAATTTATATTTATAAATAATATATTTAATTGATATATTTTTCGATAAATCTTTTTTAAATTCTTTTATATTATTTTTTTAGTTTGACAAAAGTTAAAAAATCAAGTTTTTGGTGAGACAATCTGATTCTAAATAGAACGTTAAAATTATATCTAAAGTTATGAAAAGATGAAATAGCAGTTTAAGATGACCAAGTTTACGGTATAAAGGTTCAACCTAAATTTGATATGAATTTTCGTTATAAAGACTCAAGTCGAATCTTTGGGTGACTTAATTGTCCATAATGTAAATTTACAAGCAAATTTTTTTGCCTAATATCGTAGTCATCATTCCTCAGGTTTTTTAAGAATAGTTAAACTTGTTTTATCAATCATAAAAATTTATGTTTTACATAAATCTGTGGTTTAATAACTTCATCTAAAGTACGGAATATAATAATCAATAATGACATCAAAAACGTATGCAACTATAAATGATTTCAAATCGAAACTAAAAGAAACAATATTAGATAAAGAAAATATAGAGGACTTCTTTTAGAGCTATACTTATTTAGCGGCTATCTATCACGTGATTTTCTTTTTATATGCAAAGATTTTTATAACATTCCTTTTTTGTTTTTCTTGGTGTTTGTTTATCATTCAAAATAAATTTTGGAATTTATTTTGACTTTGTTTTTTTTTTTTCAATTTTTATGTATAATGCTTAATGATATATATATATATATATATATATATATATATATATATATATATATATATATATATATATATATATATATATATATATATATATATATATATATATATATATATATACATATATATATATATATATATATATATATATATATATATATATATATATATATATATATATATATATATATATATATATATATATATATGTGTGTATTTTTATATTTATATTTGGAACTATATATTATTTGCGGATTATTAGGAGTTTAGCGATTAGACAATCATAAGTCTTCATATGGCTCCGGCCATTTGTATATTTTACAAATAAGAAAATCGTGAATATTTTAAAACCGCTTATCTTATAATAAAAATAAAAATATATCTATGTTATATCAAGTCCCAAAACAAAATGAAATAGTATGATCAAGCTTAACAAAGCATATTTTGTATAATTAGCAAACTATATTTTGTATAATTAGCAAAGTATATTCTGTATAATTAGCAAAGCATATTCTGTATAATTAACAATAATATAAGAGAAATAAGAACATAAAAAAGAACATAAATTTAATTATTTTTTTAATTAATAATTAATTTTACCTAACTTAGTATTCTTTTTGTGTGATTTCCAAGATTTATTAAAAAAAAGTTATAGGAATGACTTTTTGAATAACTAATAATTCAAATTAACAAAACTTATTTTTTGGAACGGATTTTAAATATTACAAATAAACACAAGTGGTTGATATCTTCACTTATGAATACATCAAAATGTTTCAAAAAGTGTCCGCTTTCAGTCCGCTTTTGATCGTAGATTTCACAGATAAATGAAGTTTTATGAAAATACAGGACAATTTAACATCGTAATTTAAAGTTGCGGTGATTTCAATCACACTTGTGTTTGTTTTCTCATAAAATTAATATCTATGAATTTACCAAATAAACATTAAAACACAAAACAAATAAATAGAGTTTAAAATAAGAGACAACACTTTAGTAGTTACGTGGTAACACATAATTCTAGTTTATTTTTCAAAGTAAAACTTTGACTTATAAAGATAAATGCCAATGAACTTTTCCATACTTCATTAGCGTATTTAGAACATTAAATTAATTTGTTTTAGGATTTTTTTTTATTTTTTATTATCCTAGTTTTATCCAGAAAAAAGTTGTTTTTAGCAGCAACTTTCTAAACATTTTAATGTAATTTAATCAGAGTTGAAAAGTTTGACATATATCTCTTGTTGGGTTAAATTAGGATTTCTTTGGGATCAAGCAGAAAACGTGAATGTAGTATGTACCAACTCAATCAGGTTTGAAAAAAACAGTTTCAACCCATAAAAAAAAAAAAAAATTTGAAAACTCTTCTATAGTTCAAAACTAATACAATAGTGATTTATTAAAACTATTAGATTATTCTATCTTACCTCCCCCATCTCGTAAACCCCTCAAAATAGATTTTAAACCAGTTAAAAACTTTTTAAAACAATCACAAACTTCTTAAACCAATTTATTTGGTGCTAAAACTGTGTTTTGCACCAGCTTTTTATTTTCCACAATATATCCGATTATATAATTTAAAATAAGAAAAATTTAATTGTTTAAAAGCATAGTCATTTTTTGTTGTTGTTACGTTTTACTTGTGATTATAATACATGATTGAAGAACAATAATACCATATTTTAGGCACTACCTTTTTTTTCTAAATCTTGTTTTATTGTAAAGTTATTTGTATAAATTTTTCTTTGATCTTATATATTTTATTTTATTCTCTAGAGTTATCAAAAGTTATCACCCATCATATTGATATTCAGCTATCCATGGTATTGCTTCTCCATACTTTTTGTGTTCCGATGAATCTATTCTCCTGCTTTTTATTCACACCACTCAACCTAGGGGGAAATTGTTTTATCAGATTCTATACTCTTCCCAGTTATATGTATAAGTAAGGCAATTTTTCACATTATATATAAGACAAACACCGTCATGTTCAAAATTAAAAAAAAAATTTTATTAGGCATATGCGTAGTCATAAGGCAAATATTGCCTTCTTTTAGCCCCGGTCATGTAGATTTCATTTATATAACAAGGTATTGTATTCTTTACTGACAAAATAAAATTAAGTAAATAAATAGTGGTAATAGAAGTCCTCGCCATAAGTAGGGGTGGGGTTGTTTCCAAAGTCCGGTTTTTTAAATTACAAAACAATGTGTTTGCATATTTAAACATATTAAACTTTATTTCGGTGTTCAATGGCATTCAAACATAATTTTTTTTTGGCATTTAATTTTAACTAAATGCAAAATTTAATTTAAAAATACTTTTCTTTTTAAATGCTGCTGAAAACCTGGGTTTCAATTACTTTAGCATATTTACAAACATAACACTGATAATTAATGGTTAGGTTAAATTAAATGGCAGTTTTAAATACCAGTGTTAAAATATTTTCTTTTGCTTGCTTAACGGTGTGATCTGATCAAGTTAAGGGAAGATAGTTAGAGATAAAACCTAACTCTTCTACAGTTAAAAATAAACAAATATAGCATCCAATCTAAACAAGTATGCTCAAGTAAATTCACTCCTTATATTTTAACAGTTTATAATAAATCTTTTTGATAACTAAAAAAAATAAACTTATAATATACAAGTAGATAAATATATAGAAGCGTAAATAAGAAAAATATTTACGGCTTCAATGTTATGAGGAATTTAAGCAAAACAATCGATAATAGCTCTTTTCCGTTATGCTCAAAAAACCGATTTGATGTGAAAGTCAGGATTCATTTTTTAAAGTAAACGGAACCAAAAGAACCTATTTAATCAAGCATTTTTAGAATGGAAGAGCTCCCGTGCAAAACCAGACTAACCCATATATAAAAATTTTAAAACATCTTAATGTTTTTAATACCAACACTTTAACTCATACAAAGAAACGAGTATTCTCTTTAGCTCTTGCAGTCCAACGAGCGGTTTGTATGTTGCTGATGAAGATGCTTTGAATTCATGCGATACCCAGTCCTTACCATAAACAAACACTTCACCAGCATGGATCTTAAATATCTCATAATACATTTCAGGTTTGGTGATATTTGACTTGCTTGCTGTGTCTTGGGATATTCTTTCAAATAGGCAGTCACTTCGTGCAACAAATGCTGCCTAAAAGGATGTTGTTTTTATTCTGACCTCCACATCCATTGCTGAATAATTCAACACGTGGGGCTTGCCTAGAACTTCCAAAAGTAACAAAGACCTAAATAAGAAAGTGGTTCACCGCACTTAAAATATCGTTTGAACCACGTGCTGCATCACTTTCAGGCCATGTATAACAGTAATTTTTTCCAGACGAAAAAATTACTGTTATACATGGGCTGAAAGTGAAATGGAGTGCTTTGATAAGTCTTGCCAATTGTATTAAACAGGCAACTTAGAATTTGCTGCACATCTTCTACAGTAAGTTCATAACACTTGTTTGCTGAACCATGTTAGTGTTTTCAGGCCCTCCAGTCTACTTTTTTAGACAAATCCACTGTGTATCTAAAACAAAATATATAAATATCGTTGAGAGATGTTATTGGAGAAAGAACGGAAAGAAAGAGAGTGAATGTATTAAAAGAAAGGGTGCTTTGGAAGATTTTATTAAATAAAGAGTAATAGAATATGAAAAGATGCGCTCAAAACATATAAGTGTGGAGGAGTGGGTGCCGTGGACCTACTGAAACGTATAGTCCATTATTTACATCACATTCAAGGTGACCTCTTAGAATCAGAGCTAAAATCAACATACCACCGGTAAAATTACCTTTTTCTTATTACAATTGATTGTTTTGTTTTAATACTCCTCCGCTTTTAAAAACCGCTACTACGTACTCCAATAAACTCTAAATTGTCTACAGATTCGTAATTAATTTGCATTATAACTAGCCTAATTTATTAATAACTACTTTGCAACAATTTAAAAATTAAAACTATACAAAATGCACTAGTAGCTATTATTGTTTGTTTTTTTTTCGAAAGTTGTAAAAACCACGTGGTTTATTTTGATCAATTTGATTAGTTGTTGGATTTGTCTGATTTTACACGAAATGATAAACAAGAAATCCCTGCTTTTGCACAATATTAGTAATTTTTCTATGGAATTACAGTAAGTTAGAGTTTGCTTTTGCTCAAAAATCATAAGCCAATAACAATCATTATCTGCTATACACAGTGCACATAATCTTGTTATTGGTAAACATTGGATTTGTCTGGTTTTGCATAACTCTTCAATGGTTTGTTTTTGTGTATCGTAAATAAAGCCGAAAAGATTCCCATAGCTCTAGGATTCATTTGACCTGATTCTCCAGTAAATGACAAATAAAAAATTGCAGGAACGTTTGATCAAAAGAGTTCTTTCGGTTCCGTTTATACATAAAAATAAATCCTTAATTATTCCAATAAAACCTTAATTATTCGCAAAAAGCCCTAATTAGTTTAAAAAAGTTAACTTTAGTGCATTTAGTAATTTTTAAAAACGTATTTTATTTTCATTTACAATCATGAGCTCATTAGTATTAAAAGCTAACGAAGCCACTTGTATAAATTTATACTTACCAAGCAAAGCTCCGTATTTATAAAAAAGAAAGAGAAAAATTTCCTGTTTTAAACAAAAATCCTTTTTTTTTAAGAATGTCTGAAATGGAAAAAGTTTTTCTTTTTTGTATTGAAATAAAAATTCGAATACAAAAAAAAACTAAAAAATTTTGCTTTAAAATATTAGTTTAAACATTTTTTGTTTTATGCTTTAATTAGTTAATGAAATGTTTTTTTTTTGTACATATATCTATATCTATGTCTCTATCTTTAAACCAGAATTAATCTATCATAGTATGGCAGATAAATTCTATCTTTATGTTTTTCTCTCTCTCTCTCTACATATATATATATATATATATATATATATATATATATATATATATATATATATATATATATATATATATATAATATATATATATATATAAATAAACACTTTTTGCAGTTCATTGAAAATAAATCAAGAACAACTTGTCTTAGTCTTGCACAAAACATAATTTCTTCAGATATTTTTCTTTATATTCAAAAATGTAGTGTTCTTAGTAATGATGGTAAAGGAGCAATGTATGGAAAATTAGGAGTTATGTTATCTAGAACTAAATTTATAAATTCAATAACATAGAGGTCTAGATGTTTTTCACACAACTGAAGAAATCACAGACAATAACGGCAAGAATTTTAGTATTGATGGATGTTGCAAAGGAATATGGTAGTGGTGTAATGTTAGAGCGCTTGCCTCATAAGCGAGAAGTTTCGAGTTCGATCCCCATCATGTCCTTAGTAGTCCCGCGCTCAACTTATTTCTCCGCGCAGCAGCCTTGTTCGTCAAGGTTTGTAATTTTGAAATTAAAAAGTTGAGAGAAGATTGTCACCACAATTAAAGTAGCGTCCTTGACTGTAGTAGCCTTCATTGCTTCGGGAAAGTAAATTAACATAAAAAAATGTTTCAATTTTATGACAAATTAATGTTTTAAATCTTATGACAAGTTTTTCTTTTATTGTAAGTTTAGTTTTATTAAAACAAATAATGGACTATTTCTATGCCATCACTGTCGTTCTCAGCTAAGTTTAATATATTATAGCAGTGTAATGAAATTAAGTGAACACAAATTTCAGATTTATAAAAGTATCGATCTTTATCATA